GGAGCTCGTAGCTCGGGCGCATAAAAGAGCGTACGAGCGCATAAAGGAGCTCCGTGGGCTAGGAACAGTCATAACCAACCGGGTCCGGGGGATCGTCAGACACCAAGCCCGACAACAAATAATTGTTGAGTAGGGGGAGGCATTGAACCACATTCCTTCCACAAGATTGGGAGATAGGGTTGTCGAGGCCATAAGGTCTGTAATTGAGAAATGAATGGACAGGCCGCGTGGCAGCAGGATGTCATTTCACATGACGCAGATGTTCTCCGGACATGGGTGTTTTGGGGAATACCTGTGTCGTATCGGGAGAGAGCGCACCACACAGTGCAATCATTGCGAGGACGACAGGGACACGGCGCAGCACACGCTGGAACATTGTCCAGCGTGGGAGAAAGAGCGCCGTCTCCTTATGGAAAAAATAGGGAACGATCTGTCGCTCTCCGGCATCGTCCAAAAGATGCTGGAAAGCCAAGAAAATTAGAAGGCGATGGTTTCCATCTGCGGCAGAGTAATGTTGCAGAAGGAAACGGCGGAAAGAGAAAGAAAGGGAAAGAGATGCGGCAATGGGTGGCGGAAGAGAGCCAAGAAGAAGAAGAGGAAAGAGGCCATCCCGTCACCTAGTTGTTGACGACGATTAACATTAAAAGGGAGACTTGCCCCCCCCTTCCAATATCTCTGGGAGGAAGCTGAGGAAAAAAAAAATTGGAAGGGGGGAGGGGTCACAAGGAGGATTTTTATCTCCCATTGCACGTGACTCTCACAAACAAGGACGAGAAGGAGCGAGGTCGGGAGCGTGGCGTCCTGCCCGCCCGCCGAGCACTCATCTAAGTGCGTTGGCGGGGGGGGGGAAAGGGGGGGTAGACGCCCGCGCCCCCGACCACCAGCCGAGGCACTTTACTTGGGGGGGGGAGAGTCTCGGCAAGAGATCCCGGGATGAGGGCCAAATCCTAACTTCACAGGGGAAAGGAGGGAGCTACATCCCGGGATCTCAAAGAGGAGCACAGGAGAGACGAGCGCAAACGGGTTTGGCAATCCATTGCACGTGCTTTCCCTCCGGGACGAGATGCGACAGCGGGAGTCCCCTTGCCGGAAGCCGAAGGGTTTCCGGTCGGAGGAAACCGCTGTTGTAAAGGAGGGTTGCCCCCCTTCAGGCGATAGTCCTCTGGAGCGGGCCCCCTCGATTGAAGACCGAACCCAGATACCCACGGGTGCTGGGAGGAGTCTCAATCAAGGGGGCAGGGGGCCATGGCTCGAGCGGGTGTCTCGAGCCATGACCCCGCTCCCCTAACTTTTAGGGAGGGCACGACGTGAGAGTGTGGCCCCCTTGCGTCGCAAACACCACGAGTACGGCCGCCTCTCTCCTTCAAAGGGAGGTACAAGGGGTCCAACAGGACTCCGATGGGAAAGGTTGGTGAGGGGCCCTCCAGAAATAATGCTATTGCTCGTTCCCGGAGGGCTCCCAATTAACCACCCGAGCCAGGCCATCATGGTGGTTTTAGTGAGGTCCTTTGTCGTGGTCCCTACCGGGATGATCTAGATCATCCCGGTATGGACGAGAAGAATCCCACATACTCTATGTTCCTTACCCGAAAGGCATGGGGACCTGTCGCAGGTTTCCACCACGTAAAGAAAAAAAGGTAGTCTATGTATTATAGCGTATCAGTCTCTTAAAAAATGTTCTTTTTGAGAATTTATAATTACGTGTTGATTTGCGGCTCGTAAAATTATTTACATAGTTTTTCAATAAACAACTAATATACGGCGGAGTGACATCATATTTCAGACAGTTACGCAAAAAATTAATTCTTAGTTTGTTGATAATAATTATTTTACGAAATTTGATCTAGAATTTGAATAATTTAACATTTTCCAAAGCAAAACGAAATTTAACAAGATCAAAAAATGAATTAACAAAACGCATCTTTCAGCCTGACATTAAATTAATATAATTTATAACAGCTCTTTAGAAAATTTTTTTAATGTTGATGATATAATAATGGCTGCTCCATCGGATTTCATAGATCACACATTAAATCTATTTAATTCTTTTCATGAAAGAATCCAGTTTACTCTTGAAATTCAAGACAATAATAAAATTAATTTTCTCGACCTAACATTGATATTAAAAAATAACATTATATTTGATTGGTACCATAAAAAACGTTTTCTGGAAGATATCTAAACTTCCTGTCTCAACATCCTATAAGTCAAATATGAGGTACGATAATGGGGCTAGTTGATCGAGCCTTCTTAGTATCAAATCCAGAATTTCATAAAAAAAATTTAGACTTAGTAATCAAAACATTACTTAAAAATAATTATCTTCTGAAATTGATTTCTGACACAATAAATTAAAGACTAAAACATTTAATAGATAAACGAAATATTCTTACAAACAAGAATGACCACATTGAAAAAATCTCGTATTTTTGCATCCCATTCTTACCGACGCTTAGTGAACAATACAGAAACATTATTAAAGATATGAATGTTGTTTGAGATGTTAAGTAAAACTTTTGTAAATTCTAGAATTTACAAATATATTCTTCAAAAGTCTTCAAAAATATGTTCACGAACGCGCTGCGAGAGAAAGGATCGCACTGCACGAAAGGATGAGTCACTCTTTGTATTAAATTGACTTTAATATTATAAAACAATTAGAAAACGAACACTTTAACAAACTTTTACAATCTTAATTAATTTACAGAGAAAATCGAACTCAAATCAATGTGCGGAATAAGCGGCGGTTGTCAACGAATTTCTGCGGTTTTACAAATCTGCGGTTGCGTTATGCGGTTCACGGCGGAAAAAGCGATAAGGCCCCGATTTCGGGCGCGAGCTCTCTCTTATGGGTTTCCGAAGAAAACCCACTTTTTCGGAAAGCGCCAATTATTGCGAGCAATTTGAATTGTGCTCGAGGTGACTCGAGGGCACAGCTCATTATTGGCCGCTTTTTTAAGATGCGCAACGACCTCGCGTTTTGCCATGCGCGCGCGGCTGCTCGCTATTTCTAATTGGTGATCGAGGCCGCGTGGCAATTTTGCGCATGCTTGTACCGCGAAAAGTATCCGGTAAAACGGTTGCGAAACTGCTAATTGTTTGTGTGTAAAGAATGTTTTTAGATGACAAGTTTAATTTATGACAGGTTTTTTACCGTGACAAACATACAAAACGACCGTGACTTTTGTTATTGACGCGGATGGAAAATTCTAGAATTTACAAAAGTTTTACTTAACATCTCAAACATTCCCGCCCGCCTTGTCGCAACGTGACAAAGATTGGTGGTGGTTCCGGCGCGGATCGCATTCCGATAGCGATCGATGGTGGGGCGAGCGCGCCGGCGCGGCGAAATACACGTGGTGATCGCGTGGTGTGAATCGATCAGCTGAGCCGATGAGAGCACGTGGTAAACGCGTGGTGTGAAATAATCAGCTGATCCGGTGACAACGCGTGGTTGATGTGAACGGCGAGTGTGTAATGCAGTGAGCGGTGATAACGAAATAATTTTTTTTTTTTTGTGCGGTGGTGGATGAGATGAGTGACGTGCGACAGATGCTATGATGCATGAAGTGATGATTGTGTGACGTTACGAAGTGTCAGTGTGCGGTGTAGGTGCGTCGTTCACGCCCGGGAGGAAAACAAGCTTGACGAGTGGGCGCACAAGCTCGGACGTGGCCGTTCGGATTGACACCACGCGTACAATCCCATCGTCCCCGGGGTGAAGTCGCGATATGCGAGCCAGTGGCCATCGGCTCGGTAGGGTGAGCTCGGAGCGCACGAGACAGAGGTCACCGACGTGGGGTGCAGCTTCTCCCTTGAGCCATTTGGTGCGTGAGGCTAGTCCGTGCAAATATTCGGATGACCATCGCTGCCAGAAGTGATCCCTCATCTGCTGCAAATGACGCCAGCGTGACAAGGTGGGTACCGTCTGCCCTGTCAATGACGGTTCCGGCACAGCAAGTAGCGGCGCCCCGACGAGGAAGTGACCGGGGGTCAACGCAGAGACGTCCTCTGGGTCATCTGAGAGTGCCTGCAATGGACGAGAATTAAGACAAGCTTCGATCTGGGCGAGGAGTGTGCTCAGCTCCTCGAACGTGAGGGTGGTCTCGCCGATCACCCGACGGAGGTGGAACTTGGTCGACTTCACTGCAGCCTCCCAAAGACCACCAAAGTGCGGGGCCGCTGGCGGGTTGAAGTGCCAGCGGATTCCTTGAGCGGTGGCGGCAAGGACGATACGATGACCTTCGGCTGTCGCTGCATCAAAGAGACCTCGCAGCGTACGATCTGCCCCGATGAATGTCGTGCCGCAGTCGCTGTAGATCTCAGCACAGAGGCCCCTGCGGGAGACGAAGCGGTGCAGAGCGGCGATGAAAGCCTCGGAGGTGTAGTCGGAGACGACCTCCAAGTGAGTGGCCTTCGACCAGAAACAGATGAAGACTGCGATGTACCCTTTATGCGCACGGTGTCCACGTCCCTTGCTGGTCCGAAGGAGGATGGGTCCTGCGTAATCCACGCCGGTGCTGAGGAACGGTCGGGTTGGCGTTACTCGGTCCCGAGGAAGGTTACCCATCTGAGGCTGTGGCGTGGCAGCACGCCATCGAGTGCAGGTAACGCATCGATGTAGCTGCTGCTTGACGGCGGTTCTTCCTCGAGGCACCCAGAAGCGCAGGCGGAGCAGGCCGAGTGTCAGCTGCACACCCCCGTGCAGTGTTCGTCGATGGCAGGAATCGATCACCAGCCGAGTCAGCCAGGATGCCGCCGGGATGATCATCGGATGTTTCTCGTCGAGCGGAAGTTGAGAGTTTTTGAGACGTCCTCCGACGCGCAGTACGCCTTGATCGTCGAGGAACGGACTCAACTTTACCAGGTGGCTTCGCGGTGGAGTAGTGCGTCCAGCAGAGGCCGCGGCTACGTCCGTCGGAAAATGGAGCGCCTGCACCACTCGCAGCCATCGAAACAGCGCGGAGTCCAGCTCGTCAGGCTGCAATGGACAGCCAGGTCTGGCGTCACGTCTCACCGGGTTGAGCCATCGACGACACCACGCAGTGACTCGCAGCAGCCGTTGCAGCGTCGGGAACCGCAGAAGAAGGTCCGGTTCGGTAATGACTGGCGCCTTGACTACCAGGCTGGTGACTCGTTGCTCAGGGAGGTCATCCTCTGGGACGTCGATGTCTGCACCAGGCCAGGCAGCCTCGTCTCCTGACAGCCAGGTAGGTCCTGTCCACCACAGTTTATGATTGCGTAAGTCCTCAGGTGTAACACCACGCGATGCACAATCTGCAGGGTTTTCTCGTCCGGCGACGTGTCTCCAATGAGCGTCTGGAAGCAGGGTCTGGATCTGCGACACTCGGTTGGCAACAAAGGTCTTCCAGCGGGTGCAGTGTCCGCGAATCCAGTGAAGAGTGACCTTGGAGTCGGACCACAGGTGCACCGGCGTAGCAGCCAAGCCGAGGGTAGTGCGTACATGCAACATGAGCGTGGTGAGTAATGCGGCGGCACAAAGCTCCAATCGAGGTAACGACACCTGCTTGACTGGTGCGACCTTCGATTTTGCCATCAGCAGATTAATTGATGTCTTCTCTGTTGCAGCGTTGCGGATGTATACGACGGCGGCGTATCCTCGCTCCGATGCATCGGCAAACCCATGGAGCTGCAGTTGCGACTGGTCATTTCCGGTGCTGAGCCAACGATCCACACGGATGTGATCCAGCAACGGAAGTTGATTCAGCAGTTGTCTCCAGCGGTGTGCGTCCTGATCAGGCAGCGGAGAGTCCCAATCCAGCCGTTGAAGCCACGTAGACTGGATCAGAATTTTGGCTCGGATGACGACAGGCGCTAGCCAGCCCATCGGATCGAATAGTCGAGCTGTCTCGGCCAAGACTCGTCTCTTCGTGAGGTCGGTGGTTGAACGCGGACGTATGGTGAAGGAGAACCAATCCCCTTGAGGATGCCATCGAAGACCCAGGGTGGCGTGGCTCTCTCCTTCCCACGAGCGCGGTCCGCGTTGAAGCCGATGTTCCGGCGGAATTCCGGTGAGCACCTGCTGGTTGTTGGCAGCCCACTTTCGCAAAGGAAACCCGCCCGCCATGCAGAGACTCTGTAGTTCCTGTTGGAGTTTGATGGCATCCGCCAGGCTGTCAGCACCGGTGACCACGTCGTCGACGTAACAGTCTTGTCGCAGCGCCCTGACTCCGCGTGGATATCGTGCCTCTTCGTCTGCAGCAAGTTGGTGAAGCGTCCTGATGGCGAGGAAGGGTGCGCACGCCAGTCCGTAGGTCACGGTCTTCAACTCGTACTCGCAGATGTTGTCTGAGCTGTTGTGGCGCCACAGGATGGTTTGCAGGCGACAATCCTCCGGATGAACAAGAATTTGTCGGTACATTTTCTCGATGTCCGTGACGAAAACGTACCGATGCCAACGCCAACGGAGTAAGACGTCAGCGAGTGCTGGCAAGAGGTTAGCTCCAGTGAGGAGGTGCGAGTTCAGCGACTCTCCGGACCGTGTGCGTTGGGAGCCGTTGAACACAACCCTGAGCTTCGTGGTCGTGCTCGACTCCTTGAGGACCCCGTGATGCGGTAAGTAGCACCTGGGACCAGAACCTGTCGTAAACGTACTAACCTTCTCCATGTGTTGCAGGTTTTCGTATTCATCCATGAAGTCTCGATAGAGATCACCGAACCGAGCATCACGGGCTCCCTTCCGCTCCATCGCTTCCAGGAGGCGCTCTGCAGGTCGACGAGTCTCGCTGAGTGATGTCGGCGGTGAGGCAAATGGCAGCCTTACCACGTATCTTCCACTGGATGTGCGTGTGACTGTGCGCACATAGAGGTCCTCGCATCTGGCTTCGTCGGCGGTGAGCACGATCCCAGCTGCTGGCTCGCGTTCCTGCTCCCAGAATCGTCGCACCAGGTCAGCAAGGTCGTTGTCGGCGGTGCACTGAAACGTGCGGCGATGTCCGTCGGTGACTGCTGAGTCGTAGCCTCCGGACAGGATCCATCCCAAGCTGGTCTGCTGGGCGATCGGCATGCGTGAGTCGCCCTTGCGAAGGCCTTCCTCAAGAATTAACGAGTAGACCTCTGCACCAAGAAGTAGCTCCGCAGGGTCGTCATCCAGGTACCGCGGGTCGGCCAACCGGAGTCCTTGGATGTGAGGCCAGCTGCAATTCTCGCGTTGAGCGGTGCCTTGTTGTAGTGAGATGCGAGGCAACACAAAGGCGACCACGCGAAGCTCGGTGTTGGTCACGTCGGATGTGATGTCCAGGGTGACCTTGCCACGAGCCGATCCAGAGCGAGTCCCTCCGATGCCAAAGATGGACAGATTCGTTGAAGCTCGAGGAAGACGAAGGCGTTGAGCCAGCGCTTCAGAGATGATGGACACCTCGGAGCACTGGTCGATCAAGACTCGAACCTCGTGTGGTGATCCGTAGCGGTCCGCGACCTTGACGCGGGCAGTTGCAAGAAGGACGGCCTTGTGACTCTCACATTGCTGTGAGGTGACCAGTGTGGTGGCAAGTGAAGTGGCCTCAGCGGACGGTGATGATGTGGATGCCCCGTGCAGCATGGTGTGGTGTCGTGCGTTGCAAGTGAGGCAATTCTTCTTCGATTGACACCGTGACAAGAAGTGATTGCCCAGGCAGTTGAAGCACAGTCGGTTGGTCTCCACGAATGTTTTCCGTTCGACCGCGGTCTTGGCCTTGAACTCCTTGCAGGTCATCAGTGTATGTTTTTCACGACACAGTGCACAATGAAGCGAATCTGTGCCTTGATGTCTGGTGACGTGCGCTTTGGCGAATCGCGATGCCTCTCCAGGTCCTTTTGTGACACTCCTCGGTCGTGCAGCGTTGAGGGTCAATACCCGTCGACTAATAAAGTCGAGAAGTGCCTCGTTCTGTGGTGGTTCGGTGGAGTCTGACGTGGCTGACTCCCATTCGAGACGAGTGCGGGCGTCGAACAATTCGATGACCAGGTGATTGAACAGGTCCATCCCGTGCGAGTTGATAGGACGTCCAATACTCTCCTGTGCATTGATGGCGGCGGTGACAGCGTTGTGGATGCGGCTCAGCTCCTCGGCGGTATCTCCCTTCATCTTTGGCACGGCGGTAAACGTGGCAAAGTTGGAGCGGATTAATTCTCTTTTGTTGTCGTAATGCTTGTTCAAGATTGCCCAAGCGCGATCGTAATTGTCACTTGTGACAGGTAGTGATCTTATCAATTTTTCAGCTTGACCTGTCAAACACGAGCGGAGGTGGTGAAGACGCTCGATGTTTGAGATGGAATTGCTGCTCACAACGGACAGGAAGAGATCACGAAATGACGGCCAATCAGCGTAGGCGCCAGAAAACGGCGGCAACTTGATGCGCGGCAGCGACGACCTTGATGCGACGTCGACGGATGGAGATACGTTTGGCTTCCGGAAATGTTCAGCGTAGCCATCCAGGATACTGCGTTGTGCCACGTAAAGATTTTCAGTATCTCCATGCAACTCCGACTTGAAGTATTCGCTGTCACTAAACTTCTCTTTCAGAGCCGCGCGAATGAGATCATGCTGGGCCTCAAATTTCGTCCACAGCTGATCTAGGATCCTGATGCGTGTGGATACGGCACTGGCGGTGATGTTGGTCGTGCCCAGCTTCTTCAAGTATTCCACGGAGCGTGAAATACGGACTTGGACCTCACGTTGGCAATCGATCAAGGTGTTCACATCCATGTCGAACTACGAGCTCACTGACCGCACCAAGAGACACGTTCACAAACTTGCGGATGCCGGCACGATGTATCCGGCTCGAAGGACCAAAAATATGTTCACGAACGCGCTGCGAGAGAAAGGATCGCACTGCACGAAAGGATGAGTCACTCTTTGTATTAAATTGACTTTAATATTATAAAACAATTAGAAAACGAACACTTTAACAAACTTTTACAATCTTAATTAATTTACAGAGAAAATCGAACTCAAATCAATGTGCGGAATAAGCGGCGGTTGTCAACGAATTTCTGCGGTTTTACAAATCTGCGGTTTGCGTTATGCGGTTCACGGCGGAAAAAGCGATAAGGCCCCGATTTCGGGCGCGAGCTCTCTCTTATGGGTTTCCGAAGAAAACCCACTTTTTCGGAAAGCGCCAATTATTGCGAGCAATTTGAATTGTGCTCGAGGTGACTCGAGGGCACAGCTCATTATTGGCCGCTTTTTTAAGATGCGCAACGACCTCGCGTTTTGCCATGCGCGCGCGGCCGCTCGCTATTTCTAATTGGTGATCGAGGCCGCGTGGCAATTTTGCGCATGCTTGTACCGCGAAAAGTATCCGGTAAAACGGTTGCGAAACTGCTAATTGTTTGTGTGTAAAGAATGTTTTTTAGATGACAAGTTTAATTTATGACAGGTTTTTTACCGTGACAAACATACAAAACGACCGTGACTTTTGTTATTGACGCGGATGGAAAATTCTAGAATTTACAAAAGTTTTACTTAACATCTCAAACAAATGTTAAACTCTCATTTTACAGTTTTAACAAATTGAATAAATACATAAAAGTACACAAAGATCCTATTTTTAAGTGTTCAAATACCAATGTGATATATAAAATAGATTGTAAAGAGTGTAATGCGTCGTATATTGGTCAGACTAGTAGAAAATTATCTACTAGAATATCTGAACATTGATCTAATATACACAGGAATGTAAAAAAATCTGTAATCACTGACCATAGATTAAAATATAATCATGAATTTTGTTGGGACAATGTAAAAATATTTGATAAAGAATAACCTTATAACAAAAGATTGATTTCAGAAATGATATTTATAAAAAAACAAAATAACAGTCTCAATTTAAAAACAGACATAGATGGCTTGCCAATATATTATGACGATATTATACATAGATTACCTAAGATTTGAAAGTTAAAAAACATAAACAACTAACTATTTTCTGAGTTGTGTGGTTGTCTCTTTGAGAGATAAAAATTATTCGTTATTGTAATCTCGAGCAATCAACATCTGAAAGCCTTCACGTCAAAAATTTCATCTCACTTAATTTAACTGTAAATCTATTTTTTATTTTTATTTATCTGCATTGTTAATTTTCGTATATAATGATTTTATAGACACATTAACAATGGCTGTTATTGATATTCGCAACCGACCTCTTAACAGAAACAATTAGCAAGAGATCTGTTTCGCGACGATTGCATTTAATGACGTTTTGAGGAATGGAATATATATAAGAATGCTCTTATTTATAAATGCGTTGATCTCGTGTGTTAGAATATAACTTGACTCCGTATATTTTTATTATAATAACATTGATGAATAATTTATTTTTTGCACTGAAAAAGGTTGAAAAAGACAACCAAAATGTACGAACAAATTTATTTCTGTCTAATATTTAATATTATATGTTATAAATCTTTTTACAAATACATTTCTAGTATAAAACTTAATTAGCTCTTATTGACTTTTTATTTATAGATTAAAAATCCTTAGTTTATGAAAGGATTTTTATAATAAACTTGGCGAAATTAATTTTGACGTAACTAGCAATTTTATTCAATACTTTAACGACATTTCGACCATTTGGTTGTGGTCCTTATCAAGTGAGAATTCCATCAGTTAAAATGAGATTACCGCAACATAAAACCGATCTTATTT